GGAGAGGTAACTTTCAATGCAGCTAGACTACAGCTTAACCTTCCAACGGTCGCGCGTTTGTGGTAGATACACGAGTAATAGATTTAGTACACAATACATACCCCATGGTATGTACTATGGATTTAGTATAATATCTATTACCTACGCTGCGCTGCAGTCGGGTGCTTTAAATAACCTGTCAAGGGATAGTACGTTGCTGAGAATTTTGCATTTGTATTTTCATGCATTTTTTGTGTTGAAAACTTTTAACCATTGTGGCAATTAGTTCCATTTTGTTTATTTTATTTTAGAAATGGCGGATCAGAAGATGATTTTCAATCTCAATGATTCCACTGATATAGAAGCTGTTACAAATTTGATGTTTGCTGAGTCGGATAACGATATGCGTATGGATGATAGCGATGCAGACGAAGAGAAACATGTTTCGAAACGTGATGGCGATTCTGAGTCCGAATTGAGTGATGGAAGTAATGCCGAAGACGAAGCTAACAGTTCCAACGAGGCTTATATAACTCATCCAAAGAAAAATGGAAAAGTTTTCGACTTATGGATTTGACAAAAAAATCCAAATACTCCGTCTCCTTGTGGTCATTGGACCAGCTAAGAATCTCACAGACATCGTTGATATTTGGAAGTACCTCATAACTGATCCTATGATTGAGAGCATCGTGAACTTCACAAATAAGTACATAAGTTGTTTAAGATCTAATTATTTTCGTCCAAGAGATGCCAAGAATACAGACAAACTAGAAATAACAGCCCTTTTGAGCTTGCTTTATTTAGCAGGCATTTACCATGTTAATCAAGTTAACCTTGAAGAATGATGGAGAATGGATGATTTTAAAACAGTGATGAGTTGGAAAAAGGAATAAAGAAAGCTGAGCAACTATTTAGAATAGCTCGAGACAGAGACAGTTTCGCCATGTTAATCGCCAACGTCAAGGGGACTTGATAGGGCACGTTAAGAAGAAGATGAGTTGGAGAAGATTTCTATTTTTAATGAGAGCATTACGTTTTGATGACATAGCTACTAGAGTAGAACGTAAAAGAATGGATCGCTTGGTCCCAATAAGGAATATTTTCGTAGAGTTTGTGTCTAATTATCAAAAACGCTACTCGCTTGGGAAAAATGTTACAATTGACGAGAAACTAGAGGCATTTCGTGGAAGATGCTCCTTTATTCAATACATCCCCAAAAAACCCAATAAGTATGGGATCAAAATTTATGCCATGGTTGACGCTCGCATCTTTTACACTTATAACATGGAAATTTATGCAGGGACTCAACCAGATAACCCATTTTCCATAAGTAACAAACCACGAGACGTGGTAAAAAGGTTGGCAACATCTATATTTAATACGGAGAGAACACTGACAACTGGTTTTCTGATATTGATTTGATAAAAGATCTTGATGAGAAAAATATTGCCTTTGTAGGAACGATGAAAAAATAAGGCCCAAAATCCCAATGAATTTAAAGTTACAAAAAAGCGTGAGCCCAATACCAGTATTTTTGGGTTTCGGAAGGACATGACTCTTGTTTCTTACGTGCCTAAGCGCTATAAAAACGTAATATTAGTTTCAAGCCTACATGATGGCGCAGCAATCGACGCAGAAACAGGTGACTAAAAAACCCGAGATTATAACATTCTATAACAAGGCAAAGGGAGGTGCAGAAACAGTAGACACACTTTGTGCTTCTTACTATGTTGCCAGGAACACCAGAAGATGTCCGATGGTAGTATTTTTTCCATGTTAAATGTAGCCGCGATCAATAGTTATATAATCTATTTCACCAATAATAACGAAAAAATACTTAGAAGAAAATGCTTTCGACTACTTTTAAATGCTCTTGTGAAAGGATACGTCGAACGAAGAACACAATACACCCTTCAAAATAAGCTCAAAGAAAAAATTTCAAAAAGAAGAGCAGAATTAGATATCTAGACAGTAGAGGAGGCCACAGCAAGTAAAAGAAGATGTAAGCCTTGTCAAAATGATAACCGTTCAAGGATCACCCGCTTCAGCTTCAGCTGTGAAATTTGTTAGAAATTCATCTGTATGGAACATTCAAAGCATATTTGTTAAGACTGCAAAATTGCGATACAATAATATGTGTAATGTGCAATATCTAGGAGACATCTGGGGTTTATGACACCCGTTGTTGTTTTTAATGAAATTCAATAAAAAATTTTTGAGAACTACAGTGTATCAATCTTCCACCGAATCCCTACATTTTAAAATAACTAATTAGCATTTAGCGTATCTAGGAAATACGCGCGACTATTATTGTTGGTACAAAGGCCGCGACCGCTGCAAGGTTAAGTAACCAAAAACAAATGCATTGTATGCAGCTCTTCTTTTACTGACTGTATCCCCGGTAATAAAGTCTGTTATGACTCTTTTGATAAGATTGCATAAATCTCTGCCTACAGAGGTATACTCTTCTACAAAAGTATATAACATAAGGTTACAAGTCATCATCCACTCGGTATACCTGATTTAATTATTTATGATGTTACTATGTTTTGATATAACCAATACGTTCCTCAGACTTTTTTGGCAGACTTTAATATTCCATTCTCTCCCGCTTTATAACGATGTGCAGAAGAATTTATAATAATAATTTTAAATTTTCATTTTTTTCGTAATTCTATACATTCCTTACAATCCTAACAATCAGGTAACAAATAACGTAAAATTGGATGACGTGAAACGGATGTATAAGGAAATGATCGATATACTCGGTTCGCTAATCCCAGTCCGAACTATCTATACCTTATTTCATTAAGCGATGAAGGGCATATAAACAACGATAAATTTTAACAGATAATTGTTAAAGATGTTCCAAATGAGTCTACTCGTTCCGATAAGTAACAGTATAATTATGACACTTTATTATTTTTTTTTCTTTTCTCAAATATTCGTGTTTATTGCATAGTAAATAAATTAATGTTATCACTGCATACATGGTAAGTGAAAAAATAATCCGATTTATAAAATTAATGAATATTTTATGCATAAATGCAAGTAACAGTCCTTCAAAAATATTTAAAAACTATCCGAAATGTCCATCTTTATTTCGTCTACCGACGTTGTCGGCAGCTCATACCGGTTCGGACACGATTTAATTTTTACATCTTCCTGCATCGCTTAATGAATTTTACTATAGTGATTTTAGTAATTATGTTTTTACGATGTTAGTTACTTTTTGACAGACTAGAAGTGGCTGGAGATTATTATACAACTAAGCACACGTGCTCATAGCGCATTTCATTAGAGTATTTCGTAGACCTCTTTTGCAAACTTATACTATAACTTTAGCACGTATATATTATAGCACGACTGAAATTTACAGCATGTATAAAAATGTAAGTTTCTATTATATATAAAAAATATATTTTATTAAAAAGTTACGGTAATTTAGTTTATATCGTTGGGTTGCTCCAAATGTACTCAACCAACTTAAACTTGTTGTTGGCATGTTGCTGGAGTTTATTGAGAATATTATATTTAATAAATATTTAATATTTTCCAGTTTTTTTATTATTTCTTTAAAAGTGATGATATTAATACCGAATAAGCAATATTTCAAATGATATAATAATCACAAGATGTACTTAATATTGTGTTATATAATCCTATATACAATATATAAAAAATATAATATTTATATTATAATTCAAAAATATATCATTTATCAAAAATATAATTCAAAAATATAATATTCTATGATTACTATCAGAAACTGATTTTGGACTACCCGGGATTTTACCTTTTTTATCTAACGTACTTTATTATGAGGATTATAATCCTCATAATAAAGTACGTTATATAAAAATCCCATTTGAAATATTGCTTATTCAGCATTATTATCATCACATTTAAAAAATAATAAATTAACTGGAAAATATTAAACGTTTATTAAAAATATTCTCAAGAAACTCCAGCTAAATGCTAACAAAAAGTTCAAGTTGGTTGCCTACATTTGGAGCAACTTAACGATATAAACTAAATTACGGTAACTTTTATTTAATTTTTGACGCCATGTCAAACTGAACTGGATGTTAACTGAAATATTTTTGTTATTAAGACTATATTTACATAATTTCATAAATATATTTTATTGATCAACCTACGCCGAATGAGCAAATAATTTAAAAAAAAATGGTTGGTGTTTTGAATAAATGTTTGTGCAGTTTGATTACCTTGTATTTAACAGCATCCTTACCCATCTAAAAATATTAACTTTTAAAGAACATTTATCATATTTATATTTATTTAAGAAAAACTTACCAACGCATTATCTGAACAAATGGAAAACTTTGACTATCTCTAATAATAAAATTCAAAATAGAACTAACTAAATAGAACTAACAAAGAATTAAACAAAAATAATAGAACAATAAAACTATATTAGCTAAAATAAACAACGCGAGAATACAAATATTTACTACAATATGTTAAATTGTAACAACTTAAATTATATTCTAAATATACAGGGAAAATTTTATGGGTTTAGTATACACTTCCCATGGACGTATAAACATTATTTGGAATAATTCTTCTTTTTTCTAAGGAAGAAGTCTGCAATAATAGCTGAGAAGTAGGAATTTTTGTGTTGTAGTTTTCTGTCAAAATATGTCCGAACTAAGCAAATGGAGTATACAAAAGATTTTCCATACTTCGCTAAAAACTGTAGGAACCTGTAATTGCCTACTATAGTTTAGGTACTGCGACTGCTATAGGAGCCGCTGCAAAAATACTTTCCTATTTGAATAATATTTTTTGTGTTTTTTAATTTCATCAATAACTTTCTGACTTATATTTAATCGTATATCTGAAATATTACACTAGAAAAATCTAGAATAGAAATATTAGTTACTGAAGAATTTCGGTGCATCCTCATGAAAGGAGGACTTTTGTCTTATAACAGAAGATAATTGCAGTAATTGTAAATGTCACATCTCTATGTCACTTTTGACAGAAGTTACAAATGTTTTAAATCTGTTCTAACCTTTATGAACTTTAAAGACTAGATATTTTCTTTTGGTGTTTTTTTTAAATCGAAAACGATGTCAACAGTCATGAAATCTACTAAACTATTCAACTATACTAATATTTCAAATATTTTTCAAAGATTTTCGAGTACAACGTCATCTAAGCTGATTTATTTTGAATATGGAGATCCGCTTAAAGTAGTAAATTTGGAACAGGAAAGTATAGCAGATCCCAATGACCAACAAGTACTTATTAAAATGTTAGCAGCACCTGTGAACCCAGCAGATATTAACACCATACAAGGAAAGTATCCCTCCAAGCCAGAGCTACCTGCAGTTCCCGGAAATGAAGGAGTTGGAGTTGTGGAAAAAGTTGGTTCTGGTGTTGTTGGTATTAGTCGAGGGGACCATGTAGTGCCTCTTACGGCTAACTTAGGTACCTGGCGTACTCATATTGTGTTAAATTCTAATAATGTGTTAAAAGTTCCAAAAAAATTGGGATTAGTTGAAGCAGCTACTTTAACTGTGAACCCTTGTACAGCATATAGGATGTTACGAGATTTTACAGCATTGAAACCTGGTGATACTGTTATTCAAAATGGAGCCAATTCAGCTTGTGGTCAGAATGTAATACAATTATGCAAGTCATGGGGTGTCAGAACAGTTAATATAGTAAGAAATAGACCAGAAATAGATGAACTGAGGAAGTTTTTACAGAATTTAGGAGCTACGTATGTTCTTACAGAAGAGGAAATAAGGAGTACTGATATATTTAGAGGAGCTGTTGATAAGCCGAAGTTGGCTCTGAACTGTGTAGGTGGAAAAAGTGCCTTGGACATTATGAGATACTTACAGAATGGTAGTCCAATAGTTACCTATGGAGGCATGTCTAGGGAGCCTGTTACAGTCCCAACTTCTGCTCTAATCTTCAAGGATATTAAAGTTAGAGGCTTCTGGATGACCAGATGGACAAAAGAAAATGGAAGTAGTGTGGAAAGAATGGAGATGTTTGAGGAACTGATTTCTTTAATGACCAATAATGATTTACATGGGCCTTCTCACAAAATGGTGAGGTTTAATAACTATCACGAGGCTATTATGAACACTCTGACAGTTAAAGGAATGACAGGAAAAAAGTTTATCTTAGATTTTACCAGTTAAACATGTTCATTGCGTTAAGACTACTTCAGTTTTTTTTAATAACCTCATTTTAAGTGGTGTACAGTTTTGTTCCCTTGATATTGTTATTTTATGTTATGAAGACCAAAGATTGTAATATATAATCAACAAATAGTTGTTGATTCACTTTTTGTATTAGACAATTGCATTGCAACCACAAACCCACGAACAATACCAATATCTTGATCATCTGCAGTTTTAAGTTATAGTTCTGGCATGTTTCATTACAGTATCATAGAAAAATAAGTTTATATAAAGTATTTACTCTCCAAATTGCAGCATTTAGCCTTAATAATACAACATTGGATGAAAATTGGAAAACTGTTTTTTTTATTGATTATATTACTTGTTTGTGGAAAAGTATCATTTTGGTGGTATTTAAGTGTTTTACCTAATAAATGAGTATGTTACCAATGTGACCACTCTACAATTATTGTATTAGTTTTTTATTAGGTGTGTATTAGTTTATTCTGAAGTGCTCATTTATATTTGAAATTAATAAATTTAGAACAGATCCGTTTTACTTTCTTTCTCTGATTATTTTAATAAAATTTATTGCAATAAAAAATATTTTGCCCTTACTGTTTCTATTTTCAAGTAATAAAAATAAGAAAATGTTAGCTTTTCAATTATGAAAAGAGATTTCATCTACTAGTAATAGTTTAAAAGTTATTCTAAATATTTATAAGTTGTGTTATTGGAATTATAGATCAATGCCATTCACCATATTACCTTAATGAGATTTGTTTTACGAAAGTGTTAAAGGTGTGCTCCTTGCTTGCCTAGGAGTTAGTTAGGTGAACAATCATATTCCCGCTCTAATACTACAAAAATATATACTTAATTAGTTGTTTTTTTTTAATTTCTATTGTCTTTTATAAATTCATCATATTTTGGACTATTTTCTTTTGTTGTATTGATTTACTTTTCTGTATCTTTTGATTTATATTTTTTTCTTAAATCCTTTATATGTAGGTAATTTTATGCCACATTTCACATTAGATTAGATTACTTTTAAATAAAATAAAACATCACATTCCTTTTAACAAACAATTACACGATACCTACTTCCTATTTTATTGGTTAGTATTTCTCCCCTCAAGAACTTTCCCTTTAATTGTCAAACAGTTACAATAAAACCCATGATCACCCCTCACCAGCTAATCCAGGATAGTTTGAACTATGTTTTCCAAATCACTAATTAATAATTTTTGTACCGGTAATGTAAGTAGTATTTATTGGTTATTTACCGGTTTTTGTAATGTAAGTAGTAATTATTGGTCATTTACTAATTTAATTTCAAGTTATTAGATTATTTTGAGTCAATTGTTTTTACTTTGTCTGCTTTAATCAATTATAACTCATATTAATAATCACAGACATATAATATTGGCATAATTGCTGTATTTCTCTTTATTAGACAGCACCCTAATGTGAGTTTTTCTAATTTCAGCATTTAATTTACCAATCATATTCCCGCTCAAATACTACAAAAAATATATACTTAGTTGTTTTTTTATTTCTATTGTCTTTTATAAATTCATCATATTTTGGACTATTTTCTTTTGTTGTATTGATTTACTTTTCTGTATCTTTTGATTTATATTTTTTTCTTAAATCCTTTATATGTAGGTAATTTTATGCCACATTTCACATTAGATTAGATTACTTTTAAATAAAATAAAACATCACATTCTTTTTAACAAACAATCACACAATACCTACTTCCTATTTTATTGGTTAGTATCTCTCCCCTCAAGAACTTTTGCTCTAATTGTCGAACAGTTACTATAAAACCCATGATCACCCATCACCAGCTAATCCAGGATAGTTTGAACTATATTTTCCAAATCACTAATTAATAAATTTTGTACTGGTAACGTCTTCTTCTTTGTCAACCATTTTCCATCCACTCCTGAATGTAGCTCTCTCCCAATTGCTTCCATCTTTCTCTATCTTGCGCCAATCTAATCCACTGTTTGCCTGCCACTGCTCTTATGTCATCTACCCATCTTTTTTGAGGTCTTCCCATGCTTCTTGTTGTTGTCCTTGGTCTCCATTCTAGAATTCTCCGTGTCCACCTGTTGTCATTATATCGGGCTACGTGACCTGCCCAGCGCCATTTCATTTTTGTAATTACTTCCACAATATCCCTAATCTTCGTTCTACGTCTTATCTCGGTGTTTCTAATCTTGTCTCTTAGTGATATTCCAAGCATGATTCGTTCCATTGCTCTTTGCATTGTTTCTAATTTTTTTGTAGATTTTTTGGTAAGTGCTACTGTCTTCAAGCCGTAGGTACAAACAGGTAGTATGCATGTGTTATACACCTTTTTCTTTAAGTTTATAGGAATGGAGGTGTTTTTCAAGATATGTGCTAGTTTGCTGAAAGCGCCCCAAGCCAGTTGTGTTCTTTTAATTTCAGGATCTTGATTTGGTTTTCCTAGTTTGATAACATGACCTAGATATACATAATGTTCCACATTTTCTATGGTATGATTTTTTATTGTTATATTTGTCTGGTCTCGGCTCAGTATTTTTGTTTTGCTGTAATTCATTTCAAGCCTACCGCTCCTGAAACTGCATTTAATGTAAGTAATTAAACCGGTAATGTAAGTAGTATTTATTGGTTATTTACTAATTTAATTTCAAATTATTAGATTATTTTGAGCCATTTGTTTTTACTTTGCTTTAATCAATTTAACTCATATTAATAATCACAGACATATAATATTGGAATAATTGCTGAATTTCTCTGTATTAGACAGCACCCTAATGTGGGTTTTTTAAATTTCAGCATTTAATTTACCAGGTACCATACGACCTGAGGGGTGTAGGGTTGTGTTATAGAGGTAGCACCTTTTATCGGAACGACCACATCGAGCGTCATAGACGGGAGATGGTTCTTGATAACTGGTCCTCATAAGGCAACTAACTCTCACTTATGGCTCCACGTGCCACACCCCGGGCAACTGCATTGGTCTGCAGGCTAAACTAAGTGAGGGTAGCCAGATATGGCGAAAATTTCACCGAGCGATTGCCGGTATAAGCAATCCCACACTTACTGACCAACGGCTTCGGGCGGATGAGTTGGTAAGTGTTAGGGCACTTTTTTGTCCTGAGACCGAGAAATCGATCTCGAAGGCGGATGAACCCTACAGAATGGTCAACGGCATAAGGATGCAGAAGGCAACGGGGAACCACTGCATTAAAGACTCATAGAGTACCCCTAGTAGTAATCATCATGGTAGACATGCAAAGGAAAAGTACTGATCATGGACATCGGATACCAAGATCCGGCAGAGAAAGAGAAATAGATAAGTACAAGGCTTTCTCGGTCGTAAACCAGCGAAACCCTTGTAAAAAGAAAAAGACAACCATAAAAATTGCTACATGGAATGTAAGGAGCTTATTTTCTTCGGGAAAATTAGATAACGTCGTCTTGGAAATGGATCGTTTGGGTATAGACATATTAGGCATGAGCGATACACAATGGCCAGGAAACGGCAAATGTCCCACAAATAATCATGGTATGTTTTATTATGCCGGAAGTGACACCAAAACCCATCGATACGGAGTAGGAGTCATCATCTCAAAAAAATGGAAAGATGCTGTACTAAACTTTACTCCATTCTCAGAGCGCGTGATGTTAATACAATTAAAAGATAAGAAGAACATGATAAACATCATACAAGTGTACGCTCCTACAGCAGACAAAGACGAAGAGGAAATAGAACAATTCTATAATATCTTAGAAGAGGTGATGAGAACAACAAAGAGACAACACATTAACATAGTAATGGGCGATCTGAACGCCAAGGTAGGTCAGGGTAAAGTTGGAGAAAATGTCGGTGAATATGGCTTAGGTAACAGAAATGAAAGGGGTGATCGTTTAGTTCAGTTTTGTCAAAGCGAAGATTTAATAATAACTAATACATTCTTTAAACTACCCCCAAGGCGACTATATACGTGGACGTCACCTCAACATACACAAGAAAAAGTGGTCAGAAACCAAATAGATTACATATTGGTGACAAAAAGATACCGTAATGCCGTAAAATCTACTAAAACTTTCCCTGGAGCTGATATCGGTTCGGATCATAATCCAGTAGTATCTGTGATAGAAGCTAGACCAAAGAAGATAAGAAAAGCCATCATTCCAGCATTAGACTTAAGCCAGCTTAAAAATGAACATCTACGACAAACAGTGCGAGAAGAAATAAACACCAGCCTCAGTATAGCAGAAAGCCAAATCCGCAGAACAGACAACATAGATGAAAAACTTAAGTATATAAATACTATAATAAGAACTACGGGAAAGAAACATCTAACCAAATCTGCAAAGAAACATAAGGTGTGGATGACACCAGACATTCTAGAACTAATGGATGAAAGACGTAAAATGAAGAATAATGCAGAAAAATACAAAGAGGTTGATAAGAACATAAAGCAAAGAATAAGAAATGCCAAAGAATCATGGATTACAGAACAATGTGTAGAAATGGAAAACTATGAAAGAAAGTATGACACGTTCAATATACATAAAAAAGTAAGAGAAATTACAGAAACCCAAAGAAGACGTCAAATAAGTTTGCTTAAGAACAAAGATGGAAAGATTATTATAGATTTAACAGAGAAAATTAATAGATGGAGTGAATACATAAGAGAATTATTTGAGGACAACAGAAATAACATTGTTCTGATATATGGCAAAACGGGACCTGAAATTCTAAAATGTGAAGTAGAAATGGCACTTAAAAATTCCAAAACTGGGAAGGCAAATGGACCGGATGAGGTTCCTACCGAATTGCTAAAGCTCTTGAATGATGAATCAATAGGTATAATATTGCACTTATTTAATACAATATACAATACTGGTATTATACCTCAAGAGTGGCTGTTGTCTACATTCGTTACACTGCCAAAGAAATCTAATGCTAAAGAATGTTCAGAACATCGAACAATATCTTTAATGAGCCACCTACTAAAGATATTTCTAAAAATCATCCACAACCGAGTTTATCAAAAGTTGGAGTCAGATATTAGTAATACACAGATGGGGTTCAGAAAAGGGCTTGGTGCTCGAGAAGCTCTCTTCGGTTTGAATGTTCTTACACAAAGATGCCTAGACGTTAATCAGGAGGTACATACGTGTTTTATCGATTTTGAGAAAGCGTTTGACAGAGTACGCCATGATAAGCTTAGAGAGATTCTTGAAAGGAAGGACATAGATAATAAAGATCTGCGAATAATTCTCAATCTATATTGGAATCAGAAAGCTAACATCAAAATAGAAACTGAAACATCACAAGCAATAGAAATACGTAGAGGAGTACGACAAGGTTGCATTTTGTCACCTCTGTTATTTAATGTATATAGTGAAAGCATCTGTCAGGAAGCCCTTTTACAAGCAAACGGAGGAATCGTAATTAATGGAGAGATTGTAAATAATATTCGATACGCGGACGACACTGTACTAGTTGCAAGAACAGTAGAAGAATTACAAAGATTACTTACAAA